ACGAATACATTAGAGATTTTCTTTAATAGCAAAATATCTGTAATATTAGACTTGAGAAATATAATATTCTGAATATATGTTTGCTGAAAAAAAAAGATTTAAGATTTCAACAGACAATAACGTTAGCTTCTCAGTGAATGACTGCCTAATATTTTCTATATGGCAACGGTTAATTTTGCTTTTACACTTACACAAATATTATACGACAGATTATTTAAATTACTACTATTTTGTTTGGTTACGACTTTAACCTTAGAACACTAACCATGGGTATATAGTACCCACGGCAAATTTTCCTACTTTCAATTACAATTTTCAGTACCTGATTTTCTTACCTAAATAAAACGTTTTTCTGTTCCTATTAATGTTAACTCAAAGTACAAAGTTTGAAGTCCCTTCATGTAAAATATTTCAAATAAAGATTTATATTTAATATTTCTTTTTGATATTTTCAAAATCGGGTATGATATACCCATGCTTAGTAGTGGTGTAACTTTAATTGATAGTTAGTGTCCTAGGGTTAATATTAATCTAATGTCAGTGATTTCTAAAAGCATCCGTCTTCTAAGATTCAGTAATGGCGAATAAAGATATTTTAATAGGTCAAGGTTTGTCTGTTTATTCGATGCGAAATAAATAAAATGTCGCTATATTCAAAGGTCATTGGTCAAATTTCTGTAGAAATGAGCTAAGATAAGGATTGGCACGTCAAAGCGAATTTCCTTATTTAATCATTTTTTTAATCTCCGTACTTTATTATTTTCATAGGATATTTTGTTTACGCTATTAAGAATGAAGAACACACCCATAAACTCTAAAGGATATTTAATGACAAAATCTTGTATGAAATGATCCCCCAAAAGTTAGTATATCTAATGATATTTGAATATTTTTGTCTTGCCCTGTTGGATGTAGGTTTCGTTAACAGGAAAATGGATATGGCTTGTAAATACTCTATCGTATATATATATATATATATATATATATATATATATATATATATATATATATATATATAGGTTTAACCTAATCTAAAGCAATATATATATCCTGACGATCCGCTTAGGTGAAACCTGGGTAGGTAAGTCTGGCTCACTACGTTTATATATATATATATATATATATATATATATATATATATATATATATATATATATATATATATATATATAATGGATGGCTTTGATTGAGGAATCGCAGAGCCGAGTTCGAATTCAGTTGAATCCATTACATTCCTTACGTGCTAATACCCTTGGGAAAGGTGTGAATCCTCTTCTTCTCCTCCAGCTATGGGTAAATAGCAGGACAGATTGGGTTCTATAGCGTTGGATGGCAACTGGTCTAGGAGAAGGACAACTCCGAATTCAAAACCTGCGGAGGTTCGTTTGGGGACTTTGTGGCACTTAGTGCACCAGGTCTCTGTATTCGGCCCTTCAAAAAGTGTGGATGGTTCTGCACGAAACCTTAACCACTATAATCAAATCTCATGTGCCGTTGTCGGGCTGTTGGTTTCCTGGGAACTGATCTGCTTGACCCTCATACTTCGAACTAGACGGGTGAGTCGACTATATATATATATATATATATATATATATATATATATATATATATATATATATATATATATCATTTTTAGAAACCTTTGCCGCGGAGCAATGAGCAGTAAGTTGCTCTAGTGAGTTCTAAATCGTTACAAGTCGCGTAGCCCATTAAGTTTGTAAAGAGAACTGCATGTACTGCAACCATAGCAGCAGTGGTGTGTCTAGGACGAAAAAAATCCTGACGGAGCCCATTCCTCTCCATATTGGTTTTATGGTTTTAGAATTAATCCTTCTAGTAGACTGGTTGCCAATACACGGCAAAGAGATCCTGGTCTGCCTTGCTGTTTATCTAAGAGGAGAAAGAAAATGATTTCTTTCCTTTTTTAAAAACAAAACAAAACAAAAATCGACCTGAATTAAGACTTGACCCATTGCTTTCACTTTACGTGCCGATAGCCTTCACACTGTTCTCACATACTCGAATGGTTAGAACATTCACTTATCGACCATAAGATGCTTGTTCGAATCTCACCATGGTTGGTCTCTCAGGAAGAAAACTGCATGATGTTATTGGTTTTTGAGGCGATCTCAGCATGCGCCACTTTTAGAAAGAGCCTGAAAATTATACCACGGATTTACACAAGCATTATAAGTGAAATTGAATGGACGGAACTATTTGGTAGCCGTCGATGGTTGTACTGACACGAAGTCATAAGTCATCGTGACTGAGAGTTTGAGCGTACTCGTATTGTTGATCTCGCCCCAGATAATGCGCTCTTTCGCAGAAACTGTAACAAAGGTCTGCTCAGAGTAGTTACAATACAAGCTGCAGATGAGCTCTGTGGATGTTGAAAAAACACAAATGTGCCTGAGCAAGCCTCTGCAACAAGGATTGGCTAGCCACCCTAATTTACAGGCATACCCAAATACGAGTGGTCAGGTATTATTTATCCGGATGTCCGCCGGTCTAAATACATTTTAATAAATAAATATATAAAAAAAGATATTTTCCATCATAAAAGATTTTCTTTGCTGTTTTTTTTTTTAATCATTTCACCCCAAGCAAAACAATAAAGCCACTAAGACGTAAAGGGGTTACTGAATATTAGTGAGTATAAAAGAAAGAAAACTGTTATTAAGGAGAAGGAATAATAAAAGAACATGAATTAAGAAAACAGAAGGATTGATATTAGAGTCACGTTTTTAAAGATCAAATTTGACTGCGATAGAAGAAACTATTAGCATAGAACTTACGGTTAAATTTAGCCATTTCAGCTGCAAAATGATGAGAGCTTGCCGCCAGTCTAGTTCTTCCTTTTTATGTGCTGTGTTCCTTCGGGACGTAGGCGATCATGGCCCTCCACTTCCTCCCTATCCATTGTAGGTCTCAATAAGTTTTCTTCCTTTGCTATTTTCCCCGGGTCATATTTTGTCATCCACTTGCTTACACCCTCCTAGGTATGTCATGTATTACTTTCCCTTGGCTCTTTTTTCCTTTATTTGACCTGTGGATATCAGATTCTCCAAGCCCTCTTATCTCATTACGTGGTCTAGAAATGTCAGCTGCCTCTTCCTGGTGTTAAGTATAAGCTTCCTTCTTGCTTGCATCCTCTCCAAAACCTCATTGTTGCTCACACGCTAAGTACTGCAATTAAATGCATAAAATCTAGTTACCACAGAGGGAAGTTCATAAGAATGATTATCATGAAAGCGTTTATAAAAAAATAAAAAAGAAAAAGAAAAAGAAACAAGGAAACTACATTACTGAGGTGGGAAAGTGACTAAAGTCGAGATGCTAGATCAGGACCAATAAGATTGCAGATTCTTTTTGGGCTTAAAATATTTTCTAGTTGCAAAAAAAAATATTAACCCATTGACTTTGGGGTTTCGAATGTCGATGACAAGTTATTTAAAGACCGAGTTGATAGAACCCAATGTTCCAGTAAGACCTTTAAAATGTTGTAAAACATTTTTTACTGGACAATATAAAGAGCTATAACAATGAACTTGAAAAGCATAATTTCCTGAATATTTATTTTAAGAAAAAAGATTTTATAAATTTCAACGAAAGGTAAAGAATGCTGAATACTTCCGGTATAGGAAGATCTAATTTCCAAACTGCCATTGTCATAGGCATGCATCGTAAATGATTGTTAGTACGAAAATGTATTGGTAAGGAATTTTAATATAGGTACTTATTGAACGGAGCTTAGATGCGTCACAAGGCCGAAGGTATGAGGCACCCAGTAAGCATCGACCTCACTTCTCAGTCGTAACTGATCTCGTGAAACGAGCTTGCTAACCATTATACCACACCGAAATGCTCTAAGGAATTTTAAAATATATTGTTAATGATTATTACTATAGAAAATGGGCTGGAAATCATTTTTGTCATCGAAAATTCACCGGAAATGAATGAATGAGTAATCATTTATAATATAGGAAGCGATCTTTAACAGTTACTGGACTTGAGAAGTTTAAAACATTTTATAAATTTCAATTGAGAATAACGCTAACTGCTTTACAAAGAATGACACATGTTTCTTGTAGGGAAACAGCTAATTTCACCATTAACATTCGACATTGTGCTCTGAGCAGAAAATAATGCAGCTGCCCATTGAATGATCTGCTGCCCGTGTATCTGTCATAGAAGATAAGCTTCCTCCTAGAAAATAAAATCCTTTCGTCACTTATAAAATAAAATCTGCACTTCAGTTGTTTTTTTTTTATTTTTTTATTTTCTTTTGTGAGCGCCCCTGATGTGGACAATGCCTGTGAGCTAATTCTTTCTGTTTTAAGTAGCGTGTGCATTCCTGATACGAGCTAAACCGTAGTCACATTAGAAATCAATGTGCCACGCATGAAGACTAATAGAAAGAAAAAAGAAAAGAAAAGTAATAGACAGAAGGGTTTGGAGAGCAAGCGACCGACCGAGCGAACGAGCGAGAGAGAGAGAGAGAGAAATAGAGAGAGAGAGAGAGAGAAGCAGAAAGGCAGTCAAATTGATAGTGAGATAGAAAGAGAGATAATGAAATTTATCAAGAGAAAGAGAATGTGTTATTTCTGAAAATTTACTTATTTTAAAAAGTATGAACAGTTGATTGCAGTCAATTATTGAAGAAAGAAATTGAGAGACATATTATTCTATACCGAGTACACACACACACACACACATACATACATATATATATATATATATATATATATATATAGCGTGTGTGTGTTATTAGCGGCTTATAAACATTTTGCAGGTAATCTAATGCCATAAATTTCTTTTAGATTTTTGGGGGATAATAATGATATGTTGTTATATGTCCTACTAGGTAACCCATAGCTGGAGGGAGAAGAGGTGGGACCATACCTTTCATAAGGGCATTTGTGTGTAAGTGAATATAATGAACTCGACTGGATTTGGAGCGCGGTTCTCCGATTAACAATTCCCAGCCGTTATCCATTACGCCACAAGGTTACCCATCGAGGTACTTACTTAGGCTCGATGTTGCTTAACTTCTCTGATCGTACGAGAACTGGTGTTTTAACGTGATATAGCCGTAAGCCAACAATAATAAAATAAGAATCATCTATATATATATATATATATATATATATATATATATATATATATATATATATATATATATATATATATATATATATATATATATATATATATATATATATATATATATATATATCACTTTCTTCAAAGACAGTCATTCACTTCTGTAGTTCACTGCTACTAACAAGCAGATTTTTTTTTTCTCCTGATGATGGCTATGGAAGCGAAACAAGTCGAAATAAAAAAAAAACAATATTAATATACAAACCAGAGTGCCTGAAAATTTTAATTTTTAATATTTTTTGTTGTTCAAAACGCACACACACACACACACACACACACACATACTCATATATATATATGTGTGTATGTGTGTGTGTGTGTCAGAGTAAAGTGAAATATTTCAGTTTACAAACACGCGACTGTAAAAAGCAGCCGCTAACAGCTGTCAAGTGTGAGTTTAGGGGTTTAGTCATGTACCTCTCGGCCACGCAGTAGTTATCAAAGCGAGAGAGTGATTTGGGGGCTGACGTGTTAGTCTCACTTTCTTGTAGGTTTTGGGTGGTACTCACCAGCCGATTTCGTAGGGAAGGTCTGTACGACAAGCTGACGCATAATTCAATTGAGAAACTGGGAGAGAAAAAAAGTAGAGTTACTTTCACCAGAAAGGCAGACTTGACAGTGACATGTGACAAACACAGAACTAAAAAAATATATATATATATATATATATATATATATATATAATATATATAAAAAGCTAACAAAATTAGTACTGTTCTTAGATTAGGGAGCAGTGTGGTAAATCTATGACCTGATTTGCAAGCTAATAGAATTCAAACACCTTTACATATGTGTAGGAGACTCCATTGTAATATATAATCAGTTTCACATATGTTCAGGATGATTGCAATTCAATGTATGATAAAGAGTGATAGATGAGAAATGCTAATTTTATTTTGTTAACGGTGTCGAGAGATTGCATGTCTTTTTAAGCAGGAAATTGTAGAATGAAAGCAAGTTTGGTTCAAGAGTATTTTGAATTACGTCAGGTCACAATATCCATAACTCTTTCGGGATTCTTAAGGGCACCACATGTACTGAAACCATATCAACAATGATGTGTCTTGGGCAATATAGCCTGACGAAGCTTATCATTCTTCAAACTGGTTTTGAATTAACGAGGTAGGGGATGGAGAATTAACCTAAAGAAAAGCGGGGATAGGAATAAAAGAGGCCAATGAGTATAGGAAGTGCGATATTTATTTCTGCTATGTACAGAAAATGTGGCACAAGGCCAAAATGTGGGGGAAGGACGGTCTTCTTCTGTCTTAACTTTAAACTTAGCTAGCCTCAAACACTGACCCAAACATGCCACAATACTTCTTACACCAAAACAACGCATTCTTACTTACCTTTCTTACTACATCCACCATAATACTACATTGTCTCTATGGAAGTTCTATCTAGTCCTCATATGTACAATTTGTTGTTTCTAGGAGGCGGGGGGAATAAAATATTTTTTATAAATCGGGGGGAATAAAATATTTTTTATAAATCTAAACCCTGATAAATATTTACATATAGCGAAGAGCGATAATATATTTGTAATATTTACAAAATGTGGCACAAAGCCAAAATGCGAGAATGGGGAAAAGGACGGTCTTCTTCTATCTTAACGTTAAACTTGGCTAGTCACAAAGACTGAACCAAACATACAACAATATTCCTTACACCAAAACAACAGATTCTTACTTGCCTTTCTTACTACGTCCACCGTAATACCTCATTGTCTCTATGAAAATCCTAACTAGTTCCTATATGTACAATTCATTCTCTGTGTGGGAGGGGAATAAAACAACAATTTAAAAACTAGCCCCAATGAGTATTTACAATATGAAACAAAACTTTTTAAAAGAAACCAAATAAAATAATGATAGTAATAACACGCCACACACACACACACACACAAAAAAAAAAAACCTAGAAAAGGCTCATCAGAACAGTTACCATGGAAGTATTTATAGAAAAGGCAAAGAGAGGCAACATTACGGCGGTGAGAAAGAGTCTGAAGCCGAGATGCCAGATCGGGGTCAATAATATTGCTGATTATTTTTTTATTTTTTTATTTTACAAGGAGCCCTAGATAGATAGCAGGAATGCCAGATCATATGTGACAGCAGTATGCTAAGTACGAATTATAGACTTTGCCATGTAAATTACATACATAAAAATCCCCTACACTGTGTTAAGGCCAACTATAGATAAATAAGTGGCAGTAGTGTTGAATTAAATAAAAAGTTACATTCACCAAAGGAGAACAACAAATTGAAACGCTAAAAAAGTAAGCGTGGTTATGACCAGGCCCCTCATAGGTCGCACACATACGCGTAACCTATTTACATATACTAAAAATAAAGAGACACTGATGTGTGTGTGTGTGTGTGTGTGTGTGTGTGTGTGTGTGTGTGTGTGTGTGTGTGTGTACGTATGCGGGAGCGCGTGTGTGCATCTTTATGAATGGGTGGGTGTAATAATTAAGATATAAATAAAATATATTTGTCAAGGCAAAAAATATTTGTCTTTAAAAAAGAAAAAATGAAAACCTTTTTTTTACACCAACGCGTTTTGTTCCTTGAGGAATTTATGTAAGTAAATTTCGAGCTTTTATTTCATAATTTATTTACAAATATTGTGGAGGAAAATACCAACATTTTTTTGTTTTATTTTACAGCATTCTCAAATTAAAATTTGAAAAATTAATGATTTTCTCTCCCACATTGCTTTTGTGTATGAATACAAGTTATAAAATAAACTTTCTGTATTTATATTGCTAAAATTCTTCAAGGAACGAAATTCGCTGGTATAGAATTATTTTCTTTTTCTTTTTATATATATATATATATATATATATATATATATATATATATATATATATATGTGTGTGTGTGTGTGTGTGTGTGTGTAAAAATATATAGAAAATAGGAAAGAACTCGTTAGGTAAATAATCCAAAGTTCTTTAGTATTTTTGTTATTATTTTAAAAAAATAGTGCTCGATACAAAAGTAGAGCATAAATATAATTTTATTTATATATATATATATATATATATATATATATATATATATATATATATATGTGTGTGTGTGTGTGAAGAAAAAAGGAAAATTTAGCTAACACCTTTCGTCATCTGTGGGGTTTTTGTAACAAGGACTGATGTACAAAATTAAAAAAAAAACATTGGTTTTTCAAATGTTTTAAGTTTAGAAACGCTCATAAATATTCATCAGGTTAATTTAAAAGTCAGGCAAGCTATGGCGGATACGATGTGTTACAATTCAATATCTATTAAACGAAAGTAAGTAATTTTCTTGAATTTTCTTAAGCAAATTAATATTTAAATCAATGTGGGATTAATTTATGTGTTATATATTTTGAATAAGATGTGGTTACAAATTTAATCGTTGTCTTTCAATTTGTTATCATTTCTTTAGTCATGTATCTTGGCTTGCGATAAAAAAGTAATTTTTTCAGGAATCGATATATTGGAAACAATATTTAATCATAAGAAACTTCTAACGAAATAGATTAAAAAAGATTTGTGTGAGATAGTGCAGGTGTTACCTTTAATATTTAGAGTTACCAAACAATTGATATCGTTTTTTTTAGGGTGATTTTTTTTTTAAAGGCATGTTTTCATCTTCTTCCAGCGGTAGTTTAAATAGCAAGGTAGACTGGTCTTTCTTGCCTTGAGTTGGCAACAGTCTGTATTGTTAAATCAGATGTCGAAAGCGGGAGGCCTAAATCAGATATGTTTTAAAGATCCCTGATTCTCTATTTTTTGTGTGATCCTTTCATAAAATAAATAATATTACATCTTTTATCCTACTGTAAATAATTTTATTGCTGTTTTGAATTTATCTACACATTTGATATTTTTTTTATGTTTATACGTTTTATTTTTATGTTTTTTGTTTTTCGCTCATACGTAATTTCTGGGATGAAATATATTTTCTCTTTTAATAAGTGTAGCATTCTTTAGATTAAAGTTGTGGTTGAATTTATTACTATGTTTAACTTATGCATTTGATCAACTGTTGTGTATAAGATCCCTTTTGTGTTCAAAGATATAGTATTTTTAATTTCTACAAGTTTCGCCAATGTTTTGTGAGGAACAGTTTCGGCAATATATTTTATATATACCTGCTACAGAAAGATTTTTTATGGGTATTTTTGGTTCTGATCATACGCATAATAGTTTTGGATGTGGTTGTAATTATTTTGATGTTGTTTAAATTCAATTCTCAAAAAGGTATGAACTTTGCTGACACTGGTGTTGAAGTATCGTTAAATAATAAACAGAACAATGAAAGGGGGCGACGTTAACGAAAGAGAATCGCAAAGGGATTAAAATCGACACGGTGAATTAACTTCCACACTTATAACCGTTACATTACCCTCCCACGAGATAATGAGCTTAAACGCCCCCGCACTGTGGCGCTATGCCAGACAAATGAAATTTGACTAATTATGTATTCTGATCACCTGCAATTTAGCAGTTTGTAGAAGTGACGCCTTACAGACGATTCGCTTGTCTACTTTGCTCAATTCACACTGGGTTACCATATTATATTGATCTTGTACCAGAATAAGCTAAGCTGCAATGAGTCAATATGTACTATTGAAACGACTTTTAGACAATTCAGCACTTTATATGGATTGTGCAATTATTTTAGCAGGTAGTTTATATATATATATATATATATATATATATATATATATATATATATATATTGAACAATGAAAAATATTAAAAATTAAAATCTTCAGATACACTGGGTTGTAGATTAATATTCTTTTGTTTTTTTTTATTATTATTTCATTTAGATTCCTCGACTAGTTTCGGCCAAAATGGCCATCATCGGGAGAAGAAATATTTCTGCTTGCTGGTAGCAGTAAACTACAGAAATGAATGTCTTGCTGGAGCAATATATAT